ACAGTTGGTATGGAAAAGACTTTTCTTTCATGTTTTTCTTTCATACAGTAAGTGTTTTAGAGACTGCTATGTTTATCATTCTGAAGTTGGACAGCTTCACTATGTTATGCATGAAAACATGCCACATTTTCTTGCATACAGTACACTTTCCCAAAAACAAGCTGTTGGACATTGGAGTGCACATCATATGTAAGAAATAGGATAAGAGCAGGTTCTGTCTCTTACAGGTGAAACTGAAAGTAAAATCTGCAGTGATACACTGGGAGCAGAATCAGCAGGCTCCCAGGCTGGGTTCCCTAGATCCTTTTTTTCCTGCCTCTTTATCCTGCCTTTAAAAAACAAGGTGGGATGGTGTGTCCTGTGTGAGAAGATGCAGTACTTTTAGCAACTTTGAAAATCAAACTCTTTATTCCTCCAAAATCTACATGAGCTCAAGAATAGCTTTGTAAATGGAATTTCAGCTGTTGCTTTTAACGTGTAAAGCTATATATGATTTGGAGAACTGAAGCTCCGTGCAGTTATTAAAAACACCCCAAAACAGCATTTTAGTGGGGTTACCATATTTTCAGTTTAAAAAAAGAAGACGTCTGTGGGGGGGATAGACGGGAGGGGGGTATATGACTGTGGGGGAGGGTGGTGATATGCCTGTTCCTCACCCCAGCCCCCTAGCCCTGCTGCTGCACCTCACTCCCAACCCACAGGATCCTGCTCCCCAGACCATGATGGAGCCCCTCACTCCTGACCTGCAGTCCCCTGTGCCCCCTTTTAAATATTTATATAATGACATGTAGGGCTTGGGTATGCACTTTTTGATATATTTTCAGAAATAGTAATAAAATATTTGTGTTTTTCTCTGCTGTTAACCATTCTGGTCTTTTTTTGTCAACCAACCAACCGGAAACATGTATGTCAAAATAATAATAATAGAGGAGGGAGGGACATATGTAGTAGGGAAAAAAATGTCATTGTAACTTGTGCAGAGCTCTAGGCACATAGGATTGTATCAGACCCTAGCCACCTCTGGGGCTCTACCACACTTGTTCTTTTCCTATTTCCAGCACATTAAAACAACCCTCAGTAGTCCTACACATTTAAGCCAGTAGGACTAAATAAAGTCTGGCAAAAGGAAGAAGAACAAGCTTTAAAAAAAGAAGAAGAGCTTTGTTTTAACATCCTGGTTCATCAGTAGCCTTAGTCTGTGTTTTTAGTTTGTTTAAAAGAAATCTTGTAGATCTTTTTATTGTTTGCATAGTGTCTAGAAGCCCAAGTATTGTTGGGGGTGCATTGTGCTAGGAACAGCATAAACACAGTATACCCGTCCGGGAGAGCATTAAACACAAATAGACAAAACTCACCTCAGGGTTATGGAAGAGGATGTAACATCCAAGTGGAGCAAATAGGAAAATGGGTTGCATGTGTCATGAATTCCATGACTGGTTGATTTAAATGAATGTACATTTTTGGAGGGTTGTGTTTTCTGAATCATGTTCAGTGTTATAAGCTGTGGAAGGGTGCCCAAGACATGCATTTTTTCCTTATTGTTCTGAATATATTTAGTGCTTTCTCAGAGACTCTCCTGCTCCTGGAATCATGTGATTATATGAGGCTCAGCTTAGTAGTAATAATTTTTCTGGACTTTATGTCCTCCTGCTTTCTTTCACAGACATGAACTACAAAAGGATCAAAAACCAGAAGGCAGAGACTTAAAATCTGTTTAACAATTAGTGCTTGGATTTTTTTAAAGCCAATTTCCTGCTGCTTTGGGCCTGACTCATGATGTTTGTATACTTGGCACTGGCAATAATGAATCAGGAAGGGAATTGCTAAAAGGAAAAGGGAGGAAAAAAGGACGGGGATAGTTGAGTGAAAAGGATGGATGTGGTTAGAGCAAATAGCCTATCAGGAGAGGGGCAGGAATGGTTGGAGCAAAAGCTGCAGAAAGCCATCTTATCCTGTGTGCTGTAGATTAGTTTAGGCATAAGGAAGAGATGGACATTGGAGAAGTAGTGAAGGGTTTGAAGAGAGAAGTGGGGACCACAGTATCTTTCTGCTGTCTTTTTTTGGTTGAAAGCAGAAAGCTTAACTAAACAAGGCTACTCCTCTCTCTGACGCAGTTGTAAATTGTCATTTATTCAAGATTTTGGGATTTAACTCTGTCCCTAACATAACATGTCAGGAGACTTGGTCATAGCACGGTTTCATTTTGTAATGTCAAAATCTTCTGTAAATGATGTGGAAAATTGATTAAGGTCTTATCTGCATTGTGGAATGTGCTAGTGTGGTGCAACAGGACCAGTGCACCAGGGGCAGCTGTTGCATCCCGCTGGTGGTGACTTGGCTCCTGCACTGCTCAATCTCTAAGGTACCCTCACTTTGCTCTTTCCTGCCACACCTGGGTCTTGTTAATAAAATTTGGAAAGAGAGGCTGCTTAAGGGTCTTAGTGAGCCATAACCTGTCCTCTTTACCCATGGATCCATCTTGGCCCCCACTGTTTCCAATCAATTCTTCCTGCCGGGGGGGGGGCGGCGCTCTTGGCCTGCACATGCCCCCAAGGGCACACATTGCCTTATGGGCTAATCATGGCTCCAATCTCTCTGTCACCATGCCCATGCCTCGCAGATGTAACGGGCTCTCTGTCGAGCTGTCATCAGCAGGCATCTTGCTGCAGAGTTCCTTCCCCTTCAGCCTCCAGGACTAGACTGACTGCTCAGGCTCTGGCCATGGCTTATATGCTACCAGAGCTCTGCTCCTTTCTGGTCAGGTGACTCCCTGGGCTGTCTGCAGGTGCCCTCTACTGAGCTTTGCTTACTGACCTTCAGGGTAGCTTATAGCAGCACACCTAGCCAGTAGTCTTGCTTTGTCTCCCACACAAGACTCTGCCTTGTACTAGTGCCAGGAATCCGGTAGCACTGCAGTAGGCTTCTTGCTGCTCCCCCAGGTTACTCTGCTATTGTACTATTACTGTGCAACTAGCACAGCAGTAGGTACTTCCTATTTATGGGCTCTGGCTGTCTGTTCCTTTACAGCTAGCTCCACTCCTGACTACCTGAGCATGGTTTGGCCCTATTTTCCTCCCTATAAGAGGAGCCATGGGCCCTTTGTTACGTGTGGACATGGTAAAAAATTATAATAAAATATGCACTATTATACTCTGGTGATGTAATGGCCAGCTTAGTTGCATTTGATAAGCAAGAAATTGTAAGCACTAAGCCTGAAGAATCAGATATTCTTAATTTGCAAATACACACAAGACAACAGTGCTTTGATTTAAGGAAGTTGTGTTTGAAGCACAGCATAACTTTGCCTGTATTTCTGGTGGAAGTGTTATTAAAAAAAACCCTACATGTTCCCTTGTAAAGGATCAATAGTTGATCCCCTGCTTGTGGATGCCACTGTGACAGTGCTTGTGGAGTACACAAATGAGGGGAATGACCTGTGCTGCTTGGCTCAGTGCTGGTATTGGTGAACTTGGAAAGCAGCTGCTTCCAAAGCCTTAGTACTTTGTGAGATGCAATAGTATGCTAAATATTAGAAGCCAAAATATAAATGGGTCATCTGGCCAATCCCTCTGCTGATGTGGGATTAGGGTTTACAAAATATTTTTCTAGTGCTTTATCAAGTCTAATATTTAAACATCTAAAATAATGCATCATGTACTATTTCTCTGGGTAGTTACCCCTTCTAATGTCAAAAATGTCCCTATTCTTTAGCTAAGATTTTTTAGAGAATACGAAAGGGATGAAACATGTTCTGTATCTACATATACATAAATTACATCCCCATACCAGTCCTGGTTGGTTGAGAAGCGTGCAGTTTAATTTCCACCATCACTCTACCCATACAATCCCATATATAGGATGTTGGACCTCCTAGGTTACCATGGGGGAGAAGCCTCTTGGAACTTTCCCTCCCACAAACTGGGGGGTTATACGTTGAACTAAGTATAGCCAGACCATTTCAGTGGAGACCCGATTTAAATGCTGTACAATACAGATATCAGATTTACTGTCATACAGTACAAATTTTACAATACACATATCAAATCTTTCTAAGTATTCTTTCATAGAAAAAGATGGTTATTCCGACATACTAATAAACTTACAATAAGTTTCAGAGGAAATTCAGAAGGAAAAAAAATCTCCTGAGAGAGAGAAGGTTTTCAAAACCAACAAACAAACCAAACCCCTTTCCCCTTCCAGCCCCCTCCCCCTTCCACCTCCCCTGCCCATGAATCCAAATGTGTGAATGTAGCCTAAAGCAACTTTGTTCCAGAGAAAACACTGGATTCATTCATGATAAAAAGTGCAGTGCCCTGGATGAGAAGAATGCTGTGGAGGAAATGAGTATGGATAAGCTAGATAAAAGGCTGTGTATCTTAGCTTTATTATGATAAATAATAGACTAGATAATTTTAATCTTTCATGCATACCAAAACCATAAGGACTGTTGAACTTTATTGCAAATTCTTCATTTATTATGTAAATATAAGGGAAGTTCACAATATCCAAAGCAACAGTGGTTTAAAGTAACCATTCCAAACTTTGGGAATGTTTGCATCAAAGTCCAGACCCAAACTCAGGAACTTGGGTCTTGTTGTAGTGCAGTGTTTCACACAGCTTGTGTTATTCAAAAAAACTCAGTGCATATCTAACATTTTCCTTAATGAATTTTAGTAATTACTTTTGGCCTGACTTGTTTGCTTTAAGTTATGTTGATAATCTGTGAATATGATGGTATATGATTTATAATGCCCAAATCATTTGCTTACAAACTACAGAGCTGCTAATATAAAATTACCGTTTTAATATAAAAGTTTGCTGGTGGGGGTGACTGTAAAACTGAGTCTTTATTTCAGGATATGTATTGCCCCCCTCACATGTTACTTGGGATGGATACGCAACTTGAAATGTAAATGTTGTCTTAAAGTTATTTCTCTTTTTAAAACATGCTTATTGTAATCCTGTGATTTTTCTTTTTTCCTTCTCTCTCTTCTTTAAAGTGATCCAGCTGCCAAAGCTCTCTGGGAGTCCTTTATGAATCTCAAACACAAGGAAGCTGTGATGGAAGTTAGGAGACACCTAGTGGAGGCTGCAAGCCGAGAAAACTTGCCTATTAAGATGAGTATGGGTAAGCATTACAGTATAGACCCTTTACCAGGTAGCTGTAATGTGGATGATGAATTTTCACTCTCAGCATCTGACAAAATCTGGTGTTACCTATGAAAAATCATGCATCTCTAACCCTGTTAGGTATCACCTGCCCCACATCCTGCCGCCTCATACACTCTTGTTTCACTTGCAGGCATTTTAAAATGCTTAGATTTATTCTCTACGGCCTGAACTCTTAGGCCTACTGTAGTCAGGTTTCTTTTACAACTCTGAGGTTGTTGTTCAAGCATGATGTTGTCCTGTTTTGGAGTTCAGGAATAATTTGAAAAATTGAAAAGAATTCAGAAACCTATAAAGTTGTAGAGTTGCATCAAGGGAAATTATGAACATAGACAAACACAGCTTAGTGTTACCTCTTGTCTTTGGATTATTTATAAAGCATGAGAATTTGAAGAGCGTTTAGAAAGAATAGTCTTCTGGGCTTCTGTTCTTGACAAACAGTTAGTTTAGCCAGTAAGAGAACTGATAGAACTTCTCAATCTCTTTTATTTATACTGAGTTTTCTGTGAAGCTTTGTATAAAACTAAAAATATTGTTTAGTACCTCTGTATGGTTGGAACATGGAAATATGCTATCTGTAGGCTATAAAGGTTTTTATAGTTAAACAGTTTTTGAGTGTGGTGTGCTCACTGCACAGACAAACTAGTAAAATGCAAGTAGTAAATATGTAAAATTTATTTGGAACATAAAAAATAAAGCCATGAAATTAAAAAAAAAAATTATTGTAATGGATGAAACTCTCTAGACTATTTTGAGTATGTTATATTGATATGTGACAGGCAGGGACCATTGGAACACTCAACACTGTTGTACCACTGTTATAAATGCTACATACATCTTTATGGTTTTGTGTGCATCTGTAGTTCCTGTAGGATTCATGTAACTGCTACTTGACCCATTTAATCAAGAATAAAGTCACTGGGTAGCAGGTGGTGCAGGTAATACAAACTCCCAGTGTTAGATTAATGCAGATATTAATTTTTTAAAAGCTTCATTTCCTGTGAATATGGCATCTTATTGGCTTTCCTGGTTTAAGAGACTTAAAACACAAAAGAGTGTGTGGACCATGTAAAGTGACGGCCCTGACTAAGGGAGGTGGGTCACTTGTACTTGATCTGGGACTGTGCCCCAGGTAGAAAAGTTTCTGTAAAACTGTCAGAGGCTTTAGACGAGATCGTCAAAATCGTCTGGCCCTGTGGGTCAGATGAGTGTTGTGGGACTGGTCCTTGGACTGGATTGGGCCAACGGGCCCATGGACCTTGGAATCCTCCCCCCTGCATGCTGGGTCCAGCACCTGTGGTGGCCATTCTGGAATCCACGTTGCATGTGGTACAGGTTCCCGAGTGGACGCAGCGTGTAGTACCAAACACGGCACCAATTCCAGCCACTCCGGGATCCGTACTGCATTGAGGTGCCTGTGAGCACCACATGGAGTGCTGGTCCCAGGCCAGCTGGAACAGGCACCATGTGCAGCATGCATCCCAGACCCTGCCTGCAGGGCCAGTCCATGTCAGTTCAGACCCAGGAGCAGCAACAGAGGCCAGATAACAAAGCTCTGCAGGCTGGATGCAGCTCACAAGCCATATGTTGGACACCTCATTGTCTCTGCCGAAACTAGGTGCCTGACTAGCAAAAGACATGTATATGAGCTGATGTTTTATGATAGTTTACCCCATAATGTTTTTGTCTTAAATTGCAGCTTTTATTATGGCAGCAAAGTATTTGGTCATTGCTTAAACCTGTCATTGGCCAGGAAAATAAGCAAAGTTGCAGGTGTTACACTCTCTGCCGGTGAGAGAGTCAGTTACACCTGATATCACGGTTTTTGCATGTTTTTGCAAGGGACTGAAACCTAAAACCCCCATTAGCAAAAGACCTGAGGCATGAGTAGGAAATGACGGAGTCAGAAGTACAGTTAACCCAGAAACTGTGAAAAATACAAGGTCAATTCACGTATATGTTCTTTACAGTATATCTAATATGTACATTTATTAGGCTATTAGCCAAAAATATTGCATCTATGTAGCAGTATACTGCAAGCTGAAATATTTTGGAAGAGTGAGAAGATGACAGCTCTGCGAGGGCTGTTATCAGAGCTGAAAAGAAGGGCATGATAAGTAGGAATGTTCTTTACTGATTTCTTGGCTGATGTGTTGCTTAATGATGTATTTGTGTGGGGGGGAGGATTTATCACAGGGAATACATATAAACAAATATTCTTTATCACCTCGGTGTGATAGACTTGAACTTCTATAATGTTGAAATTCAGTTTTACCCTCAAGAAAAAAAAAACTTTGAGACCCCATAATCCATCAGTCACATTCACTGCTTTCTGGTGCAGAGAAATCAATACTTTCTCTTCCCAGTCTAGTGGTACGAACTCTTAATTATTTAAGCGGAGACTTTTCTTGAAAGTTCTATTGTGAGCGAGCATCTGAAGGATGAAGCCAACATAATGACAAAGGGGTTTTCCCCATACTGTATCAGAGTTGGCGATGAATACGTTTCTCTGGAGGCCATATTGCTTGGGACTTTGATATCCTTTCAGCTCCCAAAGGATTTGAAGATTGGTTTTAGATGACTAAGTCTTTGTGCATATTTGCAGTTTACTACTTGCCTGTAGATTTATCAGTTTCTATTCCTTTTATCAGCTCATAGCTACAAAGAAATATGCGTTTTCTGATAGTTTTGGCAATGATGCAAAGGAAAGGACAGCTTTTTTTTTTAACTGAAATGATATTTTTTCACTTGACATTATGTGAAGTTTTCTCTATATATTAGTAAGACCTGAAATTGTTCAATTATACCTGCCTGCTGTCCACTGGAGCTTTAAAGAACTACTATGTCTGTGGTGTATGCAGTGCCAAATTCATCAGGCTCTTCTCTGTTAAATGCTTTTATTTAGTCAAGCATCTGCCTGCTTCCAGTGTAATACCAGTGTGTGGCCACACAGGTTTGAGGGGAAGATGAAGGAGCTTTTGAGTCTCTAAATCCTGTGCCTTGTCTGTGTTTTCATGGACATGGTTTGGGCTCTGTGTATAGTGATCAATTCTAATGGATTCCATATTGTCTGCTGCTCCTTAGGAATATTCTCTGTTATGCCCCATGTTCAGAGGGGCCGCTTTAAAAATGTTTAGGTCCTGTCAAACATACTTTGCAGAGGCATCGTTTTGCAGCATGAAGTTAACTTACCCTTTTTACTAAGACCAGCTGTGTCAGAATGTAAAAGCTGTATTTTTGTTGGAAATGATGAATGAAATACATTTGGGGGGAAAAAATCCATGTGGTGTTTGAGCCCTCCTGCAGTGGCCACCTGGCTAAAAACACTGCATCATATATGATGCTGGCAGCATGGGAGTCCTGTCTTGGAGACTAAGCCATATTCTATACTGTTTTCTTATTTTCAGAAAAAGTTAAGAAAAACTGCTGTTGTGTTTAGGGCTCTAACATGTCTATACCTACCTAGCCTAATAAACCAAATTACTTTCCTGCCTGTGTGTGCGTGCGCACGTGCGTGTGTATGCGTGTTTTTCCCCTCTTTTCCTGGTTTTATGGAGCGCAGAGTGTCCATTGGAGGAACACAGTTAAAGTTTTTTTTTTCTTTTTCTGATACCTTTTGCATCATGCCCTCCCACTCTGGGAGAGAAGGAGAATGAGGGGGCTTAAGAAACCAGCTGTGGAAGAAGAAAGGGAGTCTTTGTAACTGTTTCCCTTCCATCTACTGGCAGCTGAGTGCTTCATTTCCTCTACCCTTCCAGCAGCCAAGAAGGGGGTTCTATGTTATGAGAGAAGTCTCTTTTCCCCACCTGAGCGCTGCTTTTGCATCCACCCCCTGGGCATGGGACATTTCTGGTGTCAGCATTCACTTGTATGCAGCTATTACTCTTTGGTCTCATTTTAATTTTTAAGGCGAAATTTGGTTCTTTAAAAGTATGCTTGTTACTTCTACCCAGGAGAGCTAACAATTCACCAGCAGACACTCAATATGCCTGAAGAAGGGTGTTTGTGCTCAAAAGCTCGCAAAGAACAATTTTTCCAACTATTTAGTTGGTCTAATGAAAGATAACACATTTACCCAAAGAACCTTAATGCCTTAATGCTTGTTAAGCAAGTATTCATGCACTTTGGAAACTGCTTTTCAGTTATTGCAGGAAGGACCCTCCCCCACCAGTGTCACAAATAACATTATTTTTCAGCGAGGTGCTCACTATCCAGAGAAGGCTTTGAGATCCTTTTGGAGCTTTCATTTAAGAATTTCTGATGAGAAGCTTCTGCTGTCTCAGATGGCTGAACTGAGCAAAATGAGTCATGTTTTTCATTTAGGAGCCTAACTATATTTCCATTACAAATTTTTAATTTTAGAGAACATATAAGTTGCCTGCAAAAACTACCCCCAGGCTAAGACTGAGCAAACTGCAGTGGCTAATCAGACGAGGGGAGGGAAAGAGAAGAGTGGATTGATATCCCTTATTCCATCTCTTCAATATTTGTGGAGATTAATGTTTTACAGAGACTAGGCAACATTGAGCATTTAGTTGTGAGCTTGGGAGACAGCTGGTGGAGTGTGACTCTCAAGTTCTTATTGCTTTGTAATGCCATTATTCTTGGCAAAGCTGTCAACAGATTTGGGGAGCTCCTGGAGACTGTCTTTTAGGCTCGGGTCAGAAACTACACATAAACTGGTATAAGTGATCAGAAACTCTAAAGTTCAGTGTACATAAACTGCTTTCAAAATGGCTGAAACTGGTTTAAGATAAACCTGGATGGATTTAGTTTCAGACTTAACTGATTTAGGTTAAATTGGTTTATTGAACTTCTGTCCCAGATCTCTCCCAGATTGAAGTTAACTCACAGGCCCCCAGCATCCCAGGATGCTGCACCTCCTCTGCAAATCCCCCTGGCAGAGTGGGTGGGCTAGTCTTGGCCCAAGCTGTCTGCCCTAGTCGAGCAGGAAGATGT